TCTTTGCAATCCCTTTAAAACACTTTTTAATACTAAAATAGAAGAAACATAATAAAAAAAGGCTTACAAAATTAAAATTTGTATGAATAAGACATCTATTTCATTATAAATTCAAGCTATCATCATCTTTCAAGATTTTATAAACGAAACGATCATATTACTTATAAATGTTAAATATTCAAGTATTAATAATGTGTATATTGATCCGTAAACTTAAATAATTCAACAACTCAGCAAAAAATATGCTAATTATTCACCTTATACTTTTAGCTCTATATTTATCACAGTGTCCCAGTTTAATATTTATGGACACCGGTACATAAGAAGGGCATATTCTGTTAATAAAATAATCGAACACAGTTTACATGATATATTACTTCTGAGTTTATTGTATAAAAGGTTTCAACAATTTACCCTGTAATCAACTGTTTATTACCTTGGATTATTTTTTACAAGTTTCTACAATTTACATTGTCATCATCAGTTTGTATTGTATATCACTCTTTAGTTTTATTGTGCACAATGTTTCAACAATTTACATTGTCATCATCAGGTGAAAACATTAGGGGTGTGGAATACGATTTTATGAAAATATTACCCATATAAATTTTTTTTTTTTAAAAGTTTCTACAATTTACAATGTCATCATAAAGTGATCATACTTTTATTACAGAAAAACATCGGAGTATTCATTCATTCATTCATTAGCAAGGTATAATCAGATTGACAGTTACCTGAGAGAACTAGGTAGAGAACTTGAGGGTTGGGAAAGACATGAAAGAGTGAAACATGTTTTAAAAAGTCTCATTATGCTTTTTTATGGTTTAAATTGGGAGACCAGGAAGAAACCCTGAAAAAAATCCCCTTCCTATCCCAAGGTTATAAAAGAAGTTAAACATAGGTTGAATACAAAAACTTTTTTCAACCATAAACCCCTATTATTAAAATATAGTCAAACTCAGTAAACCATCTCTTTATCAAAATGCTCGATAAAATTTTACACTATTGCCCCTAGTCCAATACTCATAAAAAAATTTCTCTAAAGCTTTATAAATCGTACTGATTAAAACATGAAGGTGTCTTCATATTTGACCTAGATAAGAAATATTTGACCTTTGACCTAAAAATTCTCCTGTTTTGGAGATCATAAAGTTAAACTATAAAACAGGACTGACTAATGTATTCAAGCCTGTTAAATTACATTCTATTCTGTTCATGGATTGAAAGTTTGAAATTAACGGCAAATTAGCTCCAAATTAAGTTTATTTATATTTTGTTACAGTGAAATTGAGATTTAACAATCCCAATAGAAGCACTGGCCTAGGTATTGTGTAATTATGTCATTCTAAATTGATGTGTTGCACCCTGTTCTGCCTCTTACCCCTAATAACTAAGCCATCATCACAGTGAAAATATTTTGTATTTACATTTCAAAATCAATTTTTTTATTTGTGGACATCATATTTGTATTCAAAGGCCTATATCTGGAGACGTAAATTGTTAATTCGTAATTTTTTCCAAATTATCAATCCCTCACAAAAATTACAATTCAAGCCTCTGAAGAAGGTAGGTGAACTCAATGAAAAAAGGTGAACCCATAAGTTTATATTTGACCTTGTGGCAATATCCTACCAAACCTATAAAATGATGAACAACACATTGCAAGTTGTATTTCAGTCAGTGACAACTGACTCATAACAATGTGGGTGAGGTTATGTCACAATACATGCCCAAATAATTACATTGTCATTCCTCGCCCCTAAATATTGTGGGTTAAAGAAACAGAAAGCAACGGTCAAGGACCCAAAAATTGTGGAAACTCACAATACATGTTCCCTATTTCTGACACATCTTCATTCATTTTCCCTTAAATAAGTCTCGATTACAGTACAAACAATATGTGTACTCCAAAAATAAAAACATAAACACTTGATGCAATAAAAAAAAAGCAAAGGATAGAAAGTATGACCAGTTCTTACTCAGAGCATGTGACAAATATACGCCCACCATGTCAGTCAGTCATCCACCCAACAACTGATAAACCCCACCCTAGAACTGTGTCAGCCCCTCTCTAGAATGAAATTAATGTGTCAGCCCCTGCCTAGAATGAAATAAATGTGTCAGCCCCTCCTGAGCTGATAAGACAACTGAACTGAACTAACAATGTTTAGACTTGTCATGAAAGATACACCCACTACTTATCATCATAGTTTTTATGAGGTCAAACTTTTTAGTATACATGTATCACCCACATGCTACAGCTATGTGAGGACTGATTCAATGGGGCTTTATTCTAGATTATTAAACTGAGATCAAATACAGAATTTGAGAAATACAGAAGAATAGTTCAATCATTTAACATCAATTTCCAGGATTGACCAACCAGATAACTGTAACAAAATGATTTTAAGTTCTTTCAAGGAGAAGTTCCTAGATTTATTTATCATTTTTATCTGAAAGAGCCTTTTTAATAAATTTTTACTCAGTTCTCAAATGGTTCCTGATTTTTACTCTCTACTGGATTTATTAAACCAAAATACCTTTCTGAGCAGATAATGAACTAGGTCATTCAAAAAGTTTTTGAATCAATATCCTACAAGTAATTGTGATATAAATGCACAAACACCAAAGTACATAACACACATCAATAAGCCATTATATAATGGAATAAATTTGAAAAAGGATTATTGAAAAGCTTTCAAGCTTGCAACTAGGAATTATCAAAGATAAATGCATAAAGATATCGGATGCTTGTATACGAACTAAAGCCTACCAAAAAATGCAGTTTCTCAATAAAAGGGACTTGAACTATGTATCTACTCATTATAAATACATAAACTCCACAGTAGAAAAGTATTTCTATATCACTCTACAGTTGATGTATTGAGATCTATTTTAACAGTGAAAATAATTTATTGTAAACTACAAATGACATACTTATTATGGTATATATTATGTGAGTTGAAAAGCTTTCAGATAATGCAATCAACTAGGCCTTATGAAAAGATACACTTCTTAAAGCCAGTCACCTTTACAGTGTCTCACAATCAATATCCTTATAATGAATATGAAAACTGAATAGATTTTAGATAATGCATTCGATTGGGTATAACAATGTATTTGAAAAATAAATGCAACAAAGATAATGGATATTCATACACTAATGACTAAAGGCAATAACCTATCCAATGGCAGTAAAAAGGATTCAGTATCAATACCCTATGGTGCATGTAACTGAAGTATACAACACATATGATCAATTGATACTACAGTCAACTGGGCATTATTGTTGATAAACCATAGTCAACTGGGCATTATTGTTGATAAACCATAGTCAACTGGGCATTATTGTTGATAAACCATAGTCAACTGGGCATTATTGTTGATAAACCATAATCAACTGGGTATTATTGTTGATAAACCATAGTCAACTGGGCATTATTGTTGATAAACCATAGTCAATTGGGCATTACTGTTGATAAATGCACACAGATATTAGATGCTCAAAAAGACAATCAACTTTCCAGTGTCAGTAAAAGGAACCTCTGGGCATTCAAGTATATAACTTATATATATATATAGGCCTATATGATAATCAATTGACAATACAGTCAACTGAGCATTATTTGAAAGATAAATGCACAAGATATTGAATGTTATTACTCATATACCCTAGTTATCTGATTACCTGTATGACAATGACAGCTATCAAGTTATTACCTTTCCATTGGGCATTATTGGTGATAAAACTCCAATTAGCTAACAATATTCACAGCACTCTCATCAATACACAACTGAGGCATTTGTCTCCATTATGGTAGTCAGAGAAGGAAATAATATAAGTGTTATTGATGATCCACATTCTAATAGACAATTCTGGTAATACACCACAGCTAACTGGGCATCATTGGTAATACACATCAGTTAACTGGGCATTATTGCTAATACACACCAGTTAGTTGGGCATTATTGGTAATACATGGCAGTTAACTAAGCATTATTGGTAATACACTACAGTTAACTAGGCATTATTGGTAATACACCACAGTTAACTAGGCATTATTGGTAATACACCACATTTTACTGGGCATTATTGATATACCACAGTTAACTGGGCATTGTTGATATACCACAGTTAACTGGGCATTATTAATGATATACCACAATTAACTTAGCATTATTGATAATTACTACAATCAGCAGGATATTATTGATGACATACCACAGTTTACTTGGCAATTATTGACATACCACAGTTAACTAGGCATTATTGCTGATACACCCTACTTTATTGGGTGGGCCATGTCAACTAGGCATTATTGATGATATACCACAGCTCACTGACCATTATTAGTCAGTATTATATTATCTTCCCAGGCAATTTAAAGAGAGTCTCTACTTTTTTTAAGTTATTGATCAATACACTAAGTGCATGTATATTTCTGGTGCAAAATCAAGTCTCTATTCATCAAAATTTTTCAAAACTTAATTTCTGTAAGAAGATTGGTCACTTAATATGCCAAGTTCTTGAGGTGTGGTGTTTAATGATAGCTGTCAAAATAAGATCTGACTTGTGGTTGATGAAGCAAGTCACAGGAGATACAGACTTGTTTTAAAAGAAATGATGTTTTTGCCTCAGGTATCAAAATTGTATAGTAGGATTGTTGAACAAAGTCAAGTGAATGTTGGCTAATTGAGATTGTGAGTTATATTTGATACATTTGCTAATATACAGGCTGAATGGGATTGTTAAGCCAAATTAACTTTTTGTTTGTGTTAGGTGTCAAAGTTACACAGAACTTCAGCAGACAGTGTTGTGCCAAGTCAGGTGAAGTTAAACTTCATTGTTTGTGTTAAGAGTAAAAATATAAAGACGAGATTAGGATCCTGTTAAAAAGCTTAAAATATTTACCTTCTTGGCCAGTTCTTAATTCTGTTCTCAAGTGTAAAACTTCAGGTAAATCTCCTCTCACGACTTTTTTCTCATTTTTATAATGTTGATCGGTCTCGTCATCCACGACCAAAAGTTTAGTTTGGTCGCCTCCCTGTTTAACTCTTTTGACAACCTGCTGATGATTTTCATTACCGATATTTACGCCATTGACCTCCACGATACGATCGCCACTTTTTAGGCCGGCTGAACTGGCAGGTGAATCTTCGTCCACTTTACCTATAAATTGTCCCGCTTTACCTTTCTCGGCATGTAAATTAAAACCATAACCTTGAAAATCAGGCCATTTTAAGATATGGCACAATCTTGGACGAAGTTCGGAATCCACACCGTTAGACATTGTTGTCGTTTAGAAAATTCTAGTGTAAAAAACACCTGAACGTTACTTCACTACAGTCAATAGAATATACACTGTAATATGGCGTCTAGTAGACACACGTCACGTGATCGCTCTCAACCAATCACCTGTCATATCTTCAGGCTTCATCTTAACTTGTCATTTTTAACCCCCGAGATGAAAGTTTTGCTGTAATATTTGATAATAAGATGACTGAAACGACTGGGGTGGAAATTTGTTAACAAGATATCATTGTTTTCGTGTCTCTCACGTCAAATGACTTATAGATCTAAATTGGTAATTGATAAGGCCGATGACAATAGCTTTACATATTTTTGCCTGAGGTACACGCCCCATTTTGCTCATAAATTGGCCAATACATATATATAAATAAACAGTCAAACTGGTTTTAAAACAACCGACGAAATGTCGTTATGCTACGTGTCCATTCAATCGTACAAAAGACGAAATAAACTGCATGAGTCAAGTCTATAAATGTAATTATAGGGAAAAGACTTTAATTTATTACCCAAATAACCAAAAATGTGGTATTTGGTTTTATCTTCTACGCTGTAGAAGACACTCAGAGGGTTTTATGTGCATCACTTAAAAGATATGAAGTCCACCAATGTGTAACTACCAGCTAATAGAACCCACTCTCAGATATCAGTAGCATGTCCATTGATATATCTGGCATACCCGGTTCCGCTGCACAACTACAAAAACACATGCTAGGCTTCATATGTTTAATGTACCAGCTGATAGAACCCACCCTCAGCTATCAGTAGCATGTCCATTGATATATCTGGCATACGCGGTTCCGCTGCACAACTACAAAAACACATGCTAGGCTTCATATGTTTAATGTACCAGCTGATAGAACCCACTTTCAGCTATCAGTAGCAGTTGATGGATTCATGGTCGTTATTTACACCCATGTACTTATTGCCCGGGCCAAGGTCAATATGATATTATAACGTCATGGATTCAAGGCCGCTATTAACATTCGTGTACTTATTGCTCATGCCTAGGTCAATATGATATTATAACGTCATGGATACGAGGCCGTTATTAACATGCATGTACATATTGCCCGGGCCTAGATCTATATAATATTATAACGTCATGGATACGAGGTCGTTATTAACATTCGGGTTCTTATTGCTCAAGCCAATGTCAATATGATATTATAAAATCATGGATACGAGGCCGTTATAAACATGCATGTACTTATTGCCCGGGCCTAGATCTATATGATATAACATCATGGATACAAGGCCGTTAATTAACATTCGTGTACTTATTGCCCGGGCCTTGACCAGATAACGTCATGAATACAAGGCTGTTATTAATATGTATGTACTTATTGTCTGGGCAATGGATTAAGAACAAGCTTAATTAGGTATAAAACATTCTTGAGGTGACATTCTTAATTTCCGTAAGGCGTATTTGATGAAGTGAGGTGCAAACAGTTTTTGAATTTTGAAAAGTCGTATTGCTCAACTTCAAGTCATTGGCCTTTCCAAACGTTCATAATATTATACACGATCACAAATTGAACGATTCAAATACTAATGTCGATAGCCCAAAGAAGGTAAGGAGTATTTGTCTTGACAGCAATATCAATCATAGATTATGTTTTGAAAATTTGTAACCTATAAGAGCGTATGACGAGAAAAGGGGCCTGTTATGTCAAGAGATGTAAGTCGTGCATCGTCCAATTGGTACGTATAGCACCAAAAATAACAAAGATTTAGGTCGCTGAAGGATTTGATTTGATGTTTAAATTATGAAATAAAAAATATGTGTAAAACATTCCGTGTAAAATTGTTTCCATTGTTTCATACTTTACGCTTTTATTCATTGTGGGAGACATCTTATCTAAAAAAAACACCAAAAAAAAAACAATTGCATTTTATACACCGACTTGTGAGGCCTTCAGTGTCAAATAAATAGGGCAAGGTGAAGATGACTTCACTTCAGGTACTTCCAATATTGGAAGAACATTTTGACATCTCTCGTTTTGTGGGTAAAGGGAGATAATCATAACGTTATTGTGGCCTGTATTATAAAAAAAAGTGGTTGTATGATCCAAGGGAGGCAACTTCATTTTTTTGTTACTACAGCCCACATTTGCACTAAAACACGTTCTTTCAAGCCAAGTTATAACATACGAACTATTCTTGTACCACGGACTGCAGCGGTTTGATGGATTGTATGCCAGTGAATACAGTCTATCAGAATCCCAACAGACGGCCCGTAAATTATAAAAACACAATGGTTACAGCCTTTCTGTGGAGAACTTTGATTGGCTGTATTTGCAGGCGTACAATCCAATCAAATCGCTGCGGTCAAGGTAAAAGTACTAAGGTCGTAAGAGCTTGACATTGTGAAGTTTTTTTCAGATAGGCTAAACATCTTCTTGAATTTGACAAACAACCCTTATTTATTTAGTGATTGTTAGATATTATTTTGGTAATGCGCCCTGCAGAAAGCGCACACTCTTTCCACGGACACCTGACTCTGTCATTGTCATTCTAGAAAAAAGAGAAAAAATGCATATATTTTACAAGGATAACAATTTAGGTTCACAGTTAAGTCTGGATAATACTTTTGGATTTTTCAACCTGGTTTCCCCCTGTCAGTGATGAAGGTAAGGGGAAAAAGCGTCTAGTCGTTGGGATGGGACAATAAACCGAGGCCCCGTGTGCTACAGGCTGTGCAAGTTAAAGATCCCCTGACAGCTGGTAATTGAAAAAGAGCGGGCTAATGCAGCTGTTCTGGCAAAATTTCCCTCATTGCACACTGCGCGGTGTTGTCCGTCTTCATTAGCTCACATGGTGCAGAAAAGTAGGACGTAAAACTCCATTCATTTCATTTCATTTTTATATTTCATGGTCTTCGTTTTGGGAATTGTATTTGATAGTTCTGTTGCTTCGTTTTTTATTTATTGCGATGTTCAAGATGTTTTGCGCTAATAGGCGCAACATTGATCAGTTCTTTTAATAGCCTGTCTTAGTAACAGCTCTTTGTATGTCTTTCACCACTTCTCCAGGATCGTAATAAGGGTCTTTTTCTATGAGGCAAAAACCCGCTTTTCATCGCAACGCTTTCAGTAGATCACTTTTTCTGTTAAGATCAAATAAACGATATGGAAAAAATGGATTGCGTGAGCGCAAGGTGCTTAGAGTCCCCTGAGCTTAGGGCGGTTTAGGCTGGCGGGGTGTTTTGTGGGAACCGGTTCTTCGCTAGAGCGAAGTCAGTTATGAATTCTTTTTAACTGCTTAGAATGGGAGAGAAACCCTTGGTAGAGCGAAAAGCTGGATGCTTTTCAGTAGGAGGGATCCGTGTGAAAGCAAGGCCTATCGATCCTTTTGTGTCGACCTTAAGGCGACGATGGGAGAACTCTATTTTTACTGCTTCTCGCAAGAGGTGTCAGAAAAGTTACCACAGGGATAACTGGCTTGTGGCAGCCAAGCGTTCTTAGCGACGTTGCTTTTGAATTCGCCAATTTTTGTTCACCCACCAACAGGGAACATGAGCTAGGTTTAGACCGTCGTGAGACAGGTTAGTTTTACCCTACTGGTAGGGAACTCTATACGAACGAGCGGCTACGAGCGGGTAGGACTGACGTACGAGAGGAACGTTGGTCCGGGATTGAAAGCGTTGATGCTTGCTGGGTCTCCATCTCTAAAATCATGATACTCAGCCGATAACTCATCTAATTCATGTTGAATCATCCGGATATGACGTTCAATCGCTTCCGCACTGTCGCCTCTATTTTGTACAGCAATAGCTTGAGCAACCGGTATAAAAAAAACTTGAACTCATGCTCGTGTTAATACCCTAGAGATTAGTGTTAGGGTGTATTGAGACGAGTCTCAATGAAAGCACTGGCCTAGGATTAGTGTTAGCGCAAAATTTCTAAATCCATTTTTAGGCTTATTTCAGACGGGAATCGATTAGAATTTGAGTACCGAATGTCAAACTGTAAAATAAAACCGATTGCCAAAAGAAATTACATAATTATGTCATTTTCACCCGCAAATAATGTGTTCAGGTAACCCCTGAAATCGCATCTTCGATATTAACACTAACACGAAGGAGAAATCGTTTTAATACGATGCTTAACACCATGTTGATAATTTTTATATCAGGGCTAAAACGGAACACCAGTATGAGGTCAAGTCTTGAAATAAACCGCGTTAAGAAATAATAAATACGTTCAAATAAAGCTTTAATATACCATATAAAATCATCAAATATATTTTAGAAATTTTAATTAAGGCTAAAAATCCATACAGATCGGTTTTATGTGATATTTAACCTCCAAGAAATCAAACCTATAGTAAGCTGGTGTTACACACTCCATGTTAATATCCAACTACAGTGTAAGTGTCCAAATTCGGTACTAACACCAGTGTTAACACTAAGACGGAACTCTAACACGGGATTTGACCTTGCACAATTTGGACTTTTTATGGCCGCGGTTAAGATCGATGTTGATTTTGTATAAATTTATTAACAATTGTAAATGTATTAATTTCTTATTACTAATGAAGTAAAAGTTTTATGTTAAATTTATACACATTGATAAAATGTGATTCCAATATTTTTTAAAGCGGGCTACGCTCCTGATTGTGATGACAGTGATGTTTGTATGAATTAGTAGATGGGAGGGGGGAGATGGGGCTAGTACGGGGCAGAGAATTGTCCAGAGGGTTCGTGGAGATTCTTTCCTTGTGTAAAATGATATGAAATGTTAGCGTGGGGAGCTGGACCCCTTCAGCCCAAAATGAAACGCCACTGAATGCCAGATATGCTGTAGGTTGAACTGGAAACCAACTCCCATTTTTAGTTCCATATATCAAAGGTTTTTGTGAAACGGTGTCGTGAGCAGTGAGACGTTCCATAGGCTTACAGTGATTCCACCATAGTTTAGTCTACATTCAAATAACCGAGGCCTCGTATGCTACAGGTTGTGCACCGTTAAAGATCCCTAGACAGTTGAAAATCGAAAATTGCACACTGCCTGGCGTTGCCCCTGCAGAGGTTCAGAGCAGT